ATGCTTGTAACTGAGTAGACCGGCATCAGAATACTTTGCAGACTGCCAACAGCCTGCTCAAGGTGCATGCACCTTGAGTGCATGTTCCGGGATACGCTGCGAGATGCATGCAACTTGCGGCAATGGGTGTACTTTGCAGTCTTGTTTGAGTTTGGACCTCGGAAATTAAGTTGGCTTCATGGAGCCAGGTATTCACAGCATTGCGTACGGCTGGTCATGTCTTGCATTTGCTTTGAGGAAGGTGCTGTTCTATTTCGCATGGATCTTTCTGCGCTCTTTTGTTCGAACATGTGCCTTTCCAAGAGCTGGAATCTTAGTGCCATATAAGTGCCATATTTTTGTATTAACTGTATTGTTTTAGTGTCATACCTGAATTTATGACGGCTGCGGCATTATCATGCCACTATCTTAGTCAACGCCCAGAAATCGAGTGCGTTTTCAGGCGTCTCCAAACTGGCATGAATGAAACTACTAGCAAAGCCGCTCTCGCACGGCAGAAATAGCTGCGATCTAACGGGGTCGGCGTCGGTGGTATGCAGACAGGGGGAAGAGGCCCCGGCCGAATCACGGCACACCCCGCGGCACGCCGCGCACAAAAGGCGCCCTCCCTCGTGTGGCGGGCGGGGGCGGCACGACCCCGACCGGCGAGTCGGACGGTTCTCAGGCGCAGGACCTCACGATACTTTTAACGTTTGCACTTGAGAAACGAACTGCTTGCTAGTTCGGACAGCTGGCTTTACAGTGTTGAACAATGCACACAGTTGCACTTGTGTTGAACATAAAACGTTACATTCATGGACATGTGGGCTCTCCTATGCAGATTGCATGTCTATTACCTGCGAAAAAGTCGTTTTCACGATAAGTCGAATCACTGAAAAGTTTCAAAAAGCTTGTTTCTCGGGGTTCTAGTCAACACTAAACACTCTAACGACAAACTGTTTCCATGCAATTGTATTAGTATGCATAAGCAAACAATTTGTATCAACTAAGATAACTTGCATGTTAAACGAGCCTCTTAATCATTTCAGAGACCCTACTCATATTGGAAGCATGTGTAGTTTGAGAGTTGTTGCACGACAACAGTCGTTAATTATTTACAAATCCCTTGAAGCTGTGTGTGATATGAATGATTACACGACAATAAACTCATTAAACCGTGGTTTGGCAGCACTTCCAGGCCCGACAACAAGTAACAGCAATGGCGTCTTACGCTGGTGCAAGTCAAGCCCTGCAAATAATTTCATTGTGGAGATATAATGTTTCTGCATGCAAACAATCATATGAAATCAATGCCTTTAGAACCGAATCCTACCAACAGTTCATTTCTCACCCTGATATGTTTGTATTATTATACAAGCCAGCATTTGTATGAATCGGCATTGAAAGCTCCTGTTTTTTCCGGTGAGGTAGCATTTTATGAATGCCACTTTCTACCACTGGATTTGGATGAGTCTCGGGCAGGGCGACACATCAGGCCCCGGGTGTAACGTATAAGTTGCGGTACGTTGGGAAATGCGTATCAAGGGTGTGTTTTCGATAGCTTAAAGTCGTGTTCGTTGAAAAGATTCTAAGCAAGCGAATGTTTTCGTCTTCTGGCTATGTTTGATGGATCAGAAGGCCAGATTGCATTCTTATTCATACCCTGATCTGTATTCAAACAAAGACCCCTTCCATTTTGCTTCAATGCTGCACATTTCCAAACAAACATGGATTGGTGACGTTAATACACATTGTTGACCACTCGATCTACAATCAAAATTTTCATCCTCAAATTTCGATCAAACACATCGCTCTGCAATCTGCCTTCGCGGCGTCCTCAATGCATGTAGAATGCAGATAAAACATTATGAAAAAGCTTCTGACTTCTATCGGTATAGAAAGAGTCTACTAAGCCCTTGTAATTACGGACACCGGTGATTTATTCCATGCGGTCTTTAAACGCTTGATTTCTGCAGTTTATTGATATTAACACGCGCTCGGGTGGGGGTCAACTCGGCTCGCCCCCCAAGGTTTTTCAAGAATGGTTTCCGAATGGCGCGGCGCAGCCGCGCCCTGTTTTGCATAGCTTTAGACAATTGAATAGCGAATCGTTTGGCATAAAAAATTAGATGTACTTTGTAAGGTCGCTGGCCTATGGCAGGTCAAAGTCAGGCCATGGTTTCAGCGAAGTCAACTTGTAGGGAATCGTTCAATCTGATGCAACCATTGAGTGTTAGACGAAGCCATCGATCTCTGGGATGCTTTCTTAGGCAACACAAATATTGAATGAGCAAGTTGCGTTGACCTAAGGTCAGGCAAAAGGGTCAGACCAAGGTAAAAAACTACCTGTTGTATTACCTTAGGGCCTGCTGTACGGGATAGATTCTGGTGCTCATTTCGAGTTTATTGACAGCAGGAACTCCATTATACATCTTTCATGGACTTGTTAGAGGTCAGAATATATCAGTTGACCTTAAATGACCTGGGTTAACATTTTGTTTTTAGAAAAACATTGCTTGGCGTAATCTTTGTCGCTTATTCAAATGCAAAATTCAGAGCAGTCCTGTATGATTTTGGTCGTCATGACCTTCAAAAGGTCAAACAAGGTTACTTGACATTAACTGAACATGTGACCTTTTCTTTAGAAGCAGTTATCTAGGTTCTGGGGCACTTAAGAAACCAACCTGGAATTTGAACCTGTTTGACCTTATTTGACCCGAAAGTCATGACCTAGGAACCTCAAACTTTGACTAAGTGAGTCAACGTACAGGTCAAGGCACCCTGTAAATTTAGTGTATCTAGCTTTCTTAGTTCCAGAGATCTCAGGGGGTCAAAATGACCCCCTACCCGAGCGAAGAGTATCTAGCAGGCCACCCGGGTGCGTGTTAAAAATGTAAACAGAATGGATTTCACGGAAGTCTCTGGTTTCTGTTCTGGTGACGACGTAAAAATAACAAGTGAAACGAAGAAAAAGTATCCCTCGCTAGCAACCAAACTATATCCTGGGATATTTTTGTGGGGGGATCACCATAAGGTGGGGGGGGGCTTTTTCAACCCTGTGTTCCTCTTAGGGAAGGCTCTGGCCACCCCCAGCATGCACATAAGAACAGATCAAATCATCTACGTTGAATGACGGGCAATTAAATATCTGTTTGGCTAATTCATACCTAAATTAGGCCAGCTTCGCGGCGGGATTTTTCTGGGGCGGTGTGGCGAAAGGGAAGATAGTGGCAATGCTGATCCAGAAATGCGCAACAAAGCCGCCATACCATCGGTTAGCGGTCAGTCATTCGAAGACAGCCGGGCCAAGGCAGTGGCCACCGACGGCTGACCGGAGCAGTGCTCAGGCAAGAACTATATGACAGAAGGGCCTTCATTCTGTGGCTTCGCTTTCAAAGAAGACTATCCACTTCTACGGCTTTTGTCACCTGGTTTTTGGCAGTTTCAAGCTTCCGAATTTGCTTCCGCCTAAAATGCCACGACTAGTCTTATCTCCTGAAAAGCATCCAGCAAAATAAAGGCGCATGCAAAATCTGTTGTACTTTGAGCCATCGATTCACTTTCGAAATTCTCACCAGACTATGATCAGGCGATATTTTGGAATCTACCTTGTGGGGACAGATGCCTCCTCAATGACCCAAAATGTCTACCCGCTCGTGGAATTTCGGCTCCCCACGAAAGACAACGTTGAAACGGACGAATAATTTTTTTACGAAAAAAGGTTTTACGAAAACTGCAACCCAAGCCGTCGCTTTCCTTGCTCCCGAGATTACGGGCGTGTCATCCGGGCTTTGTGATGCACTCAGCTGCTGGGGCTACACGGCGTCGCCAGCCTCTCACCATGGCGAGAAGAGCGAGCACCGCGAGGAATCGAATCACGCACCTGAAGTTTCCCAGACGCGCTGCGGTTAACGTAGGCGCCACTACACTATCGGCACCCGGCGCGCAGACTCAAACCTTTTGATGTTATTTATTTCACCAGTCGATTCTGCAAAGAATGAACGTTCCCAGGCAAGCATGGGATGGCTTGTCGCGTTTTGAACTTATTTCGACCGACTCCATTCGAAGCTAATGAGACCTTTCATTTCCGGTGAAATGGCCCCCTTGAGTAGAACACTACGGTGCGCAGTTCTGTTCCCGGTGAAGGGTTGAAGGGCCATTCTGTCGCACCGCGGTGTGTCCTCCGGGCGTCATGCTACCGACACGGGGTGGCATCTCTGGCTGATGTGAGACCTTATAGTGACACATCATATCATATTGGTCCGCTCCCTGACGCGGGACGCCTTCTGACCCGCGCAGCTGACCCCTGACCGACACAGGAGCCACTGTGTCAGGGACCCCGAACATTGCAGATTCTCTCCGAATATTGTGCGTTCGCGGCTGGATGCAGTCTTCAAATGCGACCGACATTTCTAATTGATGTGAACACATTTGCTAGACATTGATTATCATCTTGAGATCCTGACTAAAAACATCACCATCCGACATAGATGATTGTCATGGGGACTGTGTTACATAATTTTGCCGCAAGGCCTTATTGAAAAGTGCGTATTTACATTTAATGCAAATCATAGAAGAGGTTAAGTCACCATGTGACTTTTCCATGACGTTGCAATGCACTGACCACGACGTCATGGTTCTCAAAACTAATGCAGTGTGTACCATCATGACCCACACCGCTCGCCTCCCTCTCTAAGCCCATCCGGCATGTTCAGCATGGTCGACCGGCTGGTTTTACCACAGATCTCGTATCGGTTCCACTGGAACGGACTTGTCACCTTGTCGGTGCCCAAAAGCCGGGCGTCAGGCAAGGTGTCGAGAATAGCACTCTTCCAACGACGTTCTCCCCGAATGACCGCAATGTAACCACTGCATGCACGGCGTCGAAAACATCGCTGCTGAAGAGATTTTCTCGCAGGCCTCCCACACTACGGCCAGCCCTATGCAACGTGACGTCACGATCCGGTGCTGCATATATAGCGAGCCGGCCGGTGGGGACTGCACACAGAAGCGTTTGGTGGCCAGACCAGACAGCAGACGAGAGTGGACTAGTATCAGATTTACCGACAGCAATATGTGGAAACTACTGGTCATCGCTGTTGTTTGTGTGCAGCTGTGCTGTGCACAGTACCCGAGGTACCTTCGGTTCCCGGTTGGTAGAGGTAAGGTTTGGGTTGGAGAGATACTGTTTCTTCACTTCGCTTGTTGCTCAACGGACGAGCATCAGACAACATTGGCTTGACGTTTTCAGCATGGAAAATGCCGTATTACCAAGATGAATGTGTTGGATATTTTGACTTCGGTGACAGCGAGCGATCAATTTTAACCTCCGATGTAACCCGCGATCCACTCCAACCAATGATCTTATCTAACCCGCGGTCAATATGCATATTACAGATGACGACACCAAATGTCATGACAGCAACATTGACAAGGAGTTCAACATAGGCGACGTATGGAGCTCCCCCTTCTCTGGCTGTAAACAGAGTCACTGCGTCAAGGAGGAGGGCGTTCTCTACATTGACAGATTCCAGTGAGTCTGACGGCTTGATCTCGCCAGGAAAGGTCGCGCAGTGTCACAGGTCGTCCTATGGAGCAAAATGAACATGTGATATTGTTTTAGTAAGAACGCTATTGTAACTTTCATTACCTACCTTTCATGAATTGGCACTTGGACGCTGAGGAAAACTGCATTTGCTTTAAGCTGCTCTGTATACTTTACCGTTTGTCAACATACTCGTCCCATAAAACCAGCGGCTTTGGATGTTGGTTTGTCTTCATCAACACTTCGCTTTTGCAGGTGTCCGCAGGTTAAAAAGCAGGTGGACTTTAAGAAGCTACAGGCCGACAACTTGTTCTGCCGCGAAGCTCGGGGAGACAGGAGGAAGGAGTTTCCCGAATGCTGTGCCCGCCTTGTCTGTAAACACTACGTGGACGGGAAACTTGTGCCGCTGCCGGCGCACAAATATCCCCTGCTCTAATGAATGTTCAGATGAGACTAGGATTGCAGTTGTGGTTGCCAAAGAAGCTATAAAGAAGGAAAGAAGCTTCAGTTGTAAGCTTTATTAATATGTGATATTAAGTGTTAATTTAGCAAAAAGATGTACGGTCGCGCGTATTAATAGCGCTGCATCTAGCGACCGAGTTGCCCAACGCTTTAAACACCCTGATCTCGTGTCTAAACAATTTACTGATTTTCACCTTTCATTTGGCGGTGATGTGGTGTCAGCAAGTTACAATCGATGTATAATAATTGTTTATGTAAGTTGGCAATGCACGCTATTGGCTCATATAATCGCGCATCATGAAAAATACATATAGATTTGGTTTCATTTCGTGGGGAGTGTTACGTGTCCGAAAGGCGAGCATCATCTTAAAGGACTTTTCTTTTCGAATTCAGTCAAGCTTCAGAGAATTTAGAAGTATGGTCTTGCACCCTTTAGAATTTGTATGACCATCAATTTTTAACTGGCCACTTAGCCTCAGCGGTCGAATAGTGACATGCCTGCGGCAGGTTTTTCTGAAAACGGCGTGTTTGTGTATGGCTTCCATGGACTTTTTAGAGGTCAGAATATATCATTGACCTAAAATGACCTGGATCAACATATTGTTTTTAGAAAAACACCGCCTAGCGTAATCTTTGTCACTTATTCAAATGCAAAACTCAGAGCAGTTTTGTATGATTTTAGTCATCATGACCTTCAAAAGGTCAAACATGGTTACTGACGTTAACTGAACATGCGACCTTTTCCTTAGAAACAGTTACATAAGTTCTGGGGGCACTTAAGAAACCAACCTGGAATTCGACCTTGTTTGACGTTATTCGACCCAAAAGTCATGACCTAGGAACCTCAAACTTTGATTAAGTGAGTTCACGCACAGGTCAACACAATCTGTGAAGTTGGTGCTTCTATCTCTCTTAGTTACCAATATCTCAGGGGAGGGGACAAATTGACCCGCCACTCGAGCGAAGGGTGTCTAGCAGGCCAACCGAGTGCGTGTTAAAAATGTAAACAGAATTGTTTTCACGGTAGTCTCTGGTTTCTGTTCTGGTCACAACGTAAAATTAACAGTGAAACGAAGAAAACCGGATCTCTCGCTAACAAGTAAACTATATCCAGGATACTTGTTGTGGGGGGGGGGGATCACCATAAGGGGGGCTTTTACCTGCTTTTACCGTGCGTTCCTCTTAGCAAGGCTCTGGCTACCCCCTGCTTGTACACAAAAACAGATCAAGTCATCTACGTTGAATGACGGGCAATTAAATGTCCGTTTGGCTAATTCATACCTAAATTAGGCAGCTTCGCGGCGGGATTTTTCTGGGGTGGTGTGGTGTAAGGGAAGATAGTAGCAATGCTGATCCAGAAATGCGCAACAAAGCGGCCATACCATCAGTTAGCAGTCAGCCATTCGAAGACAGCCGGGCCAGGACAGTGGCCACCGACGGCGGACGGGAGCAGGGCTCAGACAAGGAATATATGACAGAAGGGCCTTCATTCTGTGGCTTGGTCTTCAAAGAAGAATCTCCACTTATATGGCTTTTGTCCCATGGTTTTTGGCAGTTTCAAGCTTCCGAATTTGTTTCCGCTTGAAATGCTACGACAAGTCTTATCTCCTGAAAAGCAGCCAGCAAAATAAAGGCGCATCCAAAATCTGTTGTGCTGTGAGCCATCGATTCACCTTCAAAATTCTCACCAGGCTATGCTCAGGCCATATTTTGGAATCTACTTTGTGGAGACAGATGCCTCCTCAATGACCCAAAATGCCTACCCGCTCGTGGAATTTCGGCTCCCAGGAAAAACAACGTTAAAATGGACGAATAATTTGTTTTACGAAAAAAGCTTTTACGGAAACTGCAACCCAAGCCGTCGCTTTCCTTGCTCCCCGAGATTACGGGCGAGTCATTGGGGTTTTGTGATGCACTCAGCTACTGGGGCTGCACGGCGTCGCCAGCCTCTCACCCTGGCGAAAAAGGCGAGCGCCGCGAGGAATCGAACCCCGCGCCCGGAGTTTCCCAGACGCGTTGCGGTTAACGTAGGCGCCAATACACTATCGGCACCCGGCTCGCAGACTCAAACCTTTTGATGTTATTTGTTTCACCAGTCAATTCGACAAAGAATGAACTTTCCCAGGCAAACATGGAATGGCTTGGCGCGTTTTGAACTTGTTTCCGTCGACTCAATTCAACGCTAATGTGACCATTCATTTCCGGTAAAATGGCCCCTTGAGTAGAACACTACGGGGCACATTTTCGTTCCCGGTGAAGCGTTGAGGGGCCATTCTGTCCCACCGCGGTGTGTCAGCCAGCCGTCATGCTGGCGACACGGGGCGGCATCCCTGGCCGATGTGAGACCTTAAAGTGACACAACATATCATATTGGTCCGCTCCCTGACGCGGGAGGCCTTCTGACCCGCGCAGCTGACCCCTGGCCGACGCAGGAGCCATTGTGTCAGGGACCCCGAACATTGCAAATCGCGGGCCCCGGCCTCATTCCTGCTTATGAAATGGGTCCCATGGCCTCAGACGGACATGGAGCCGACTGTTTGGCTCAGTGTCGAAGCCCTTTATAATAGGGGCACAAAACGCTAGCAAAAGGGACCTAACAGAAGCCCTCTGACTGACGTTTCAGGTCATGGCACCACGGTGGGAGCCGTGTCCGAATTCAATCGTGCCGTTGGTCTTTGGTCCCGCGGGTTCCCCCGGTCCCTCTTCGAACCTCATCAAACGAAGTCCGTGACCGACTGTCCCCCTGTCATGCACTGTGTGCCCCTGACCGACAAGGGGGCCCAACCACTGTTTCAGAAGCCCAGACCAGCGCCAATCGTGGCTCCCGACCTTGATCCTGCTTGGCAAATGGGTCTCGAGGGTTCGGGCTGACAGGGGACCATCTGTTCGGTGCTCGCGGTCTCTGGCTGAGTTACACACCCGCATTGTCTCAGGGGGTCCTTAAAGGTACACGACGACCTCTGACCGATATTTCAAGTCATCACCGTACGGACCGCGGTTTTTATATGACCTACAGCCAATCTTGCGGGCCGTTATGCCCTTCAGCCGGGCCTTTGATAATCTGTTCTGTTGGGCCGCCCGGGTCTCTCTTCGGGCCTCATCTAGAACTGTCTTTGGTCGCTTCGGGCCCATTGCGAGTATAGGGCACTCTGTCATGCACTGGGCGCTGCTGATAGATACAGGTGCACCGACCAGTGTAAATCGCTGGTCCCAGCTTTGTAGCTGATTGGGAAGTGGACCCTCAAGCCTACTTCCCACAGTCCACTCCAATACTAATACGGAGCGGACTGTGCAGCACTGGTGGTGCCTGACCGACGATGCCCCATGGAATGCAAACCCTCACGTTACGTTTCTTTTTTGAGAACAGTGCTGAAAATTATCTTCTGTCAGGTAATGACCGACATAACATACATTACGCGCGCGCTTACAAACCTATGGCACACGTTTTGCGAATGTAAAGGGATGTCAGCTAAAAGCCAGCGCTCGTTTCTGGTATGTGTCCGATTTTTTGTCACCGACTTTCTTTTCTCTTTTGAAAAATATTGCTTTGACTGATGAGATTTTTATGTAATAATACCCTCCTTTCCTGCCAGGGTGGGAGGTAGAGGACGCCATACAGCCTTAGCCCGTGAATGCGTCGTAAAGCACCAGTAGCGCACAGACAATATGCTATAGCATCTTGTTAACTGCAGATGTTAACGTTAGACGAATTTCTTTCCGCCATAAACTTGGCGGTCGTCGCAAAAAAAATTGTTATTTACCATCGGGTATCATTCATACTCTGATGCACACACAGACGTCTGCAGAACAAATGTCAGACCCAGCTGAGCTATCTCCACGGCCTGGCGGGAATTCGATGCGGAAGGCCGTGAGTGACCCTCTCTGCAGGTAGATACGAAGTGTGGGAAAGCGCAAAAGCATGGCTTTGAATGCCGGCAAAGCTGGCGGCCAGGTGTTTAGTGCCTTCTGCCTACTGACTTGATTACATCCCATGACAGTTATATGCTAACACGCAGTGGCAGCAAGGTAGCCAGCAGCAAGATTGGTGGCGACGACAGCTCAGCCGTATGAGAAGGGGAGAGACAGTAATGCACCGCTCGCGGATGCAGGAAAACTGTACTGATACAGAGCCGGGGGAGGGAGGAGGGCCCAAAGTATGGCATAAAATATGGCAGCGACGGCACACATTTCACGGCTATGACTAAGAGTCCCATGCTAAATGTTCTTTTTCAGGCCCACGGCTTTCTAAATATTGGAGATATATATGCATAACAAGTGCATAGAAAATAGCTTGAACAATTCTCTTTCTATTTCTGAGATCAAAAGTGTGCGTTGCAGCACTCCCGAAGTATAAGACAAAACGTAGGCCCCTGCACCCGCTGCAATGTCCAGGTGTAGGATCGAATCCTTCTGCACCAACTCTTCAGCAGAGTTGGACTAGAAATAGATGGAATACGGCCACTGACCACCAATTAAAATATTGAGTACGAACGATCTTTCGTCCCATTATATATATATATATATATATATATATATATATATATATATATATATTAAATATGTATATCCTAAAAATGCGGCCGTGTGCTATGGAACGTGTGCGAATTACTATAAAAATATACATAGATAATAGAGTAGTATTAGCTCTAATCCTCAGAAAAAACAGAAGAATAGAGATATAGTTAGGTTGATATTTCGGCAACATGCCTTTCTCGAAGCAATAGCAGAAGTGAATTCAAAATTGCCTGCTGATGATCCCTACCCGATTTTTCAGTTTTTTTTTAAAGAGCAGGCTACAGTTTTTACTGGACATCAACATTCAGGGGAATAAATAAAGAGTGACTGCCAGCCATTACCAACCTACAGTGCCTATCTAAGAATAGAATGCCCGGACATGCGTGTACATTCAAACGAATTCAAGCAAACAGGCATCACGCATCACCATTCATTCGAACATGCAAGCGGACTGAAGTAATCAGACATCACACATCGCGCACCAATTATGCATGCAAGCTATTTCAATTCAACAGGCATCGCACATCATGCGACAGGCATCACTTACACATGCAAACTATTTTAAGCTAGCACACCCGATGTCGATGGTATTGAGCACCGAAGAATCTTTCTTTTCCGCCCCTCTGCCCACTGTGGATAGTCTACCACCATGGAAGTCTGGTTCTCAGGTCTTGGTAATGGAGGCGTAGACCCGCAAAATAAATTCGGAAAAATAATTAGGTAAATAAATAAATTCGGGGAACTTCCCTCCCAGTTGGGGCTTGCACCACTTTTGGTGAATAGAAAACCACAACCCTGCTTGAG